AATGTTAACTACGCACAATTACGTACAATCAAGTCCAAACGCTGCAAAAGCCGAAACTGCTTACAAGAAGAACCGTCCGGGACAGGAAAGATTGCCCACGTTCCGACCCATATATTGAATATTAAAAGTTTACCCTGCCACCCCTCCCAGCCCGGTTTAGCAGCGTCAGCAAAATGGGTGGGCGGGGCATGGCCGTTCCCCTCGTACTTTCACGCCGGAGAAGAGCAGGCGATCAATCGCCGCTACAACGTGCCGTTCGTACGCTCCTCTTTCCGGGCGCACAAACATTTTCTCGTTTTTGTTGTTTATTTTTATCTTTCGAAGTATTGTTTTAGATAAATGAATCTCCGCTGGCGATTGTACTCACCGAAATGTTCGAATTTTTCAACAAGACATGGGAATCATTTCAACATAATTATCGTTGTAGCGGTATGGATTATATATAATGGAGGGGGAGGACGTTTCTAATTGTTCATGAGAAGGTTTTTGCTCTATCATGAATTTATGAGTAGTTCTGATGTTTAGAGGAGGGGGGGCAGCGGAAAGAGGGGGGCTTTGGTGCAAAAGTTCGTAAGGAGTACGATTTCCCCCAATATTCCAGGAGCCCGAAACCGTTTCTCTACTAATTCTTCTATTTGTCATCTTAAATGGCTGTTCGAACTAGTGGTGGACCCAATGTGACCCTCGGGAATAAGAATTTTGCCTAAACCCGGGGAGGATGAGGACTCTGCCTGAACTTAGGGAGAAGGGGTGGGGAAGGAGCCCAAAACTGATTCTTTATGCAAAAGTAGGGTGTTTGAATCTAGATGGGTAACACTTTTCCTAGTTTCTTGGAATGAACAACTATGTTTGGTTGTCGTGGTTCTGAATACTTTGGGTTCCCTGCACCAAAATGTCCTCACTTACTGAATACCGCCGAGCAACGTGCTTCTTGAAGGAAACATGAACACTTCCATAAGCATTTGAGGCACTGTTCGGCTTGGGGGGGGGCGTGAGAGCATTCTCCTGGTTCGCTATTTTCTTTCACTACCTGCTACTAATTCAGACCGCGTTCAGACTTCGCGATCTTGCACGTCTGACTTGGTGAGAGCTGTGAGAGGTCTGTGCGCCGATCGTTAC